TATGGTTTAATAATGATGTGTTTGTGTGTCAAGGGGTCAATTGTGCTGGATAGCTTTACTGTCAACTTGACACACCTGGGTTGAGGGAGCCTCAATTGGGGAATTGCCACCATAGGACTGGCCTGTGGCCATGTCTGCAGGGCATCTTGATTGTTGAGTGATGTAGGAGGGCCCAGCCCACTGTGGGTGGTGCCACCCATGGGCAGGTGGGCCTGTGTTGCATAAGTAAGCAGGCTGAGCAGGGGCCAGGGGAGCAAGCCAGTGAGCAGCGTTCCTCTATGGCCTGTGCTCCAGATCCTGCCTCCAGGTTCCTGTCCTGAGTTCCCACCTTGGGCTCCCTGATGAACTGTGACCTGGGAATAAACTCCTTCCTCCCCAAGTTGGTAGTGGTCAGAGTGTTTTGTCACAGCAATGGAGAAACAAACTAGGACATTATCATTATGGACTAAGAGATACTTCTGTGTGGAGGAAGGATTGTTCTAGGTCCTGGGATGTGTGTGTATCTTGGGTATGAGGACATCTCCAAGTTTACAAGGGCAGAACATGAACAAAGACAGATCACAGCAACATCTGGGTACATAGTGACATGTGTTCTGTGGTTCACTTACCCATATGCCAGGGTATTCTAGTGAATGGCATGGCCTGGCCACATTTTCTATGAGATGTGTGTGCCAGAAAGGTCCTGTCTCTATCACAAATTAGCTTCTCTTCTACTTTCTTATACTCATTTTCTTTTGGTGCATAGGATTCATGTCTTTCTCCATGGCTTTAAGCTTCATGAAAAGAATTCTACTGGATTTGTCACTGCCCCAATGCAGGCAGTGCCTGGCACACAGTGAGTTCTCAATAAATATTTACTGAGTGAATACATTTAAAAATGTCCACACAGAGAGGGACACCTGCTAAAGTGAATTTGCTGGTTCATTTGAAGGAAATTGATGAGCATGTGTGCAAAGTCTTGGAGGCAGATGATTTCACTGAGAAATCTAATTGCTGACCACCAATTAACCAAATGGCCCAGTAATCATATTTATTTAACTCTTATGTTTGAGTTGAACAGGGTTTTTTGGCCTTTATCACATCATTTTAAAGTATCAAGCTGCCCCAACTTGCTACAATTTGCAACTGACAGGCAAAGAGATGGAGACTGTGGGATCATAACAAGAAACATTTTTGAAGAAAGATTTCTTTTCAGTATATCATTCATTAATACATTCATTCACAGGAATTATAAGGATTCTGAATATTCAAGAATCTATTAACAAACATAACCTTCATGCATATATTTATAAGAAAAAAGTTTTAAGAGGAATAGATTTATAAGAGAATATATTCACGAAGAACATATTCTCTAATATTAAGAATATATTCATAGGAACTTTTCACATTTCAACATAATATTTGTCAGTTCTAGGCATTACAATAACGAACTGAAAGTTCTTTAAAATGGATATGGAACAAAAATCAAATAAATGAATGTGGAAAATTGGTTGTTTCCTGGGAGGGTAAGAAACACTTTTGAGTCAAGCAAATGTTTCAAAGTACAGAATTCGATTCAAACCCAGACCTCACTCTGAAGTTCAAGTACTTTTCGCTGTACTTTACTGACCCTAACACTAACACAGAAGATTGGAGACTCTAGACAAAGATGAGTTGTCCCAGAAATCCCAGCATGTTTGAAAGTCAGCATTCAGCAAGGAGAGAGCCAGAACTTGGAGTCCCATGCTACCAAGGAGTCTATCTCAGGTGCTGCCATTCTGGGAGACTCTTTTAATCTACGAGTTATATAAGGTCAGGTATCTAATCACAAATGCAGAAAAGAGGTGTTCAAAAATTGCTAAGGATAAATTTATTTTGAATGTCCTAGGGCTGTTGCAAGTAAGAAATTTATTTTTGCAAAAGTTATCCAAAACTACAGGCATTCCAAGAATACAGTCTTAGAATCCAGAGCTCCCTGAGGATTCTTGCTAATGATCTAATTTCCAGCATGATAATGTGGACTTATGATGTGTTGTACGAATGGTCCTGTGGGGAACTCTTTCTAATAACATAGAAGTTTGCATTTCTTGGAGCCCTGTTGACAATTTTCCTACTTTCTTGCTGACGCAAATGCATATTTCCAGGTGAGAATTCAGAAGCGGCTGAGGCCAGCACCCCTCACACCTGTCTGTCATTTTTGGATGCTGCGTGACACCTGAGAGTATGTGTGTGTCCTCCTAGCAGGATGAGATATTTCAGCTCTTTATGTTTCAAACCTTTCTGGAGAATATTGGGGGGCGGTGAGGAAAAGCACCTAGGAATGGAAGCCTAGCAAGGGCAGAATTGAACATGTAGGCAAACAAGGGTCCCTTAACAGCACTTCAGGGTCTCCCCCATGTTCTCTGAGCCTCCAACATGTAGCCATTCTAAGAGTGGACCCTGCAGGGTTGTTCAATATTGGTCAGGCTTAATGTAAGAAAAAGGATTTGAGTAAGGAAGGAAGACTCTCTTCAGTAAGTTTTAGTCTGTTGTCAACTTAAAAAAAAATGGATTCATGTAGTTGTCATTCTGCAGACACCTATTCTACGGCTGCTGTTAAGTGTTAGCACCTTATGTGTGCCATGTTATTTATGTTTATACACAGATACACATTTTCCAAATCAAAATTAGAAACAAATTCCTGGTGTAGGCACTATTTTTCCACTTTACAGAATTTTATACCCATCTAGTATGTTGCAGAGCTGGGATTCAAGTTTGACTGGCTGGCTTCATTCTTTGACACAACATACAGTTGTGTACCTGTTAAGAGCCAGATTCTATACTAAGTACAGGGAGTCAGTAATAAACATGACAGTGATAGACAGTCGACAGCGATTGTTATATGAATGGAAAGAACCAAAGCCATAGTGATAATAAAGAGTGGACGGAAAGGTCATAGAGCTACTGAGTAAGGTAGATCATTAAGTTAGCACCTGACAGTGAGGTAGCAAGATTGAGAAAGTGAAGTGGGTATGGTTCCCCCTTGGCCAGGGAGATCAGCATATACAACAGGAGAAGAGGTATAGGAGCAAGGTGAACTTGAAGAAAAGAAGTCCAGTTTAAATCCAGCATGGAACATCAAAGAGAGCACTGAAGAGGTGAGCACACTGGGATATGGAGTGTCCATAGGATGCTGGGCCTATAGGGAACAACATTCAGGAACTCACTGTGTACATCTCTTCCTAACCCCAGTGATAGCATGGTGGTAGGAGAATTTGCACCACAGAAATGGTCACACTCAGGTGACTTTTCTTCGTGGTTTGGGTAATTACTTTAATTATGGCATTATTTTCTCAGGTAAAGAGTGCTCCTTTGGATTTGCTGATGTTGGGGACAACTCCATCTATACTTGTTCACACTATCATACGAACTATCATAGTTCAAGCCCAGTTCTGCTTGGTTTCATTTACCCTGTTCTGGGTCCTACAGATGAAATGTCATGTATTAATTATCAGAGCCACAAATCTCAGGTCTTCCATAAGCGTTTATAAAATAAACAATTATAAGTTCTTTTTAATGAAAAAGTCTCCAATTTAGCCTCTCACATTATTAACCCCTTAACTGTTTCCCAAAGGGAACATGCCCTAAGGAATATCATAGTCAAACCAACCAGTTTCTATAGTGGTGAGTATACATAGTTACCTTTTTTCTTCCACAGCTGAGACAAAAGAGACGCTAGGCTATAGGGTAGGCACAGGTCCTGACCACACACTGATTAAGACAGAAAGCTTCTGTTTTATTTGTTTATTGTGGCTAAAAATATATCAAAATTTTAATAGCAGAAGCAAGAATTTTATTGCACACAGCAGTCTACAGAAAAACAAAACAAGAAACAAAACATCATGGAAAGAAAAGTTACAACAATCAATGGCAGATTAAATTACCTTTAGGTAAACATCTGAAGAAATGAAATGTATGCACACTTCTCAGAGGTTTTTTTTCTTCTTCTTCAGTGACCTTTTATACCTGTGAGGTGGTTTCCACACAACTGGGATCTCAGATACACTCATATATAAAACATGAATAAGGTCTGAGAACACATTAGACAAATTCCAACCCAAAATAGACACTGAGCTTCCTGCTCCAGAGCCCTTCCATTCTACTGGCATGCCTGTTTGCAGAGGTGGATCCAGGCTCCAATGTACTTTTGGCAGCCAACAAAAATCAGTTCTGAAGTCTCATTAGAGTGGGAGCTAGGAGGATTTCATGCAGGTGGGTATTTGGCCAATGTCAATGTCAGAATGAGTCCCCTGAGATGCCACTGAGGGAGGGTCCTCACGAGGCTTCTGGAAATGCCCATTGCTTGCTGTCCTGTTACTTCTAGTCACACTCCTTGGAGCAGTCTCCAGGTACTTTGGAACAGTAACCAAGCAGTGGTAAAAGAAATGAAAATGAGCTTACTAGCATTTTAAAAAATATTCACTCTTTCTCCTGAGTAAAGTACACAGAAACTCCACGAGTTCTTTTGCAAGCGCCAGGCTTCTACCTCTTAGACTTGCCACAACCAGATGACAGATATGAGCTTGCTCAGATGTAGTTCTGGTGAAGACATTAATGACACATTAATGAATCAATTTTCTGGAATTTTACCACTTGAGACAAGTTTCCAGAATGGAAAGTGTTTTTTCTTTCTTTCTTTCTTTCTTTCTTTCTTTCTTTCTTTCTTTCTTTCTTTCTTTCTTTCTTTCTTTCTTTCTTTTTTTTTTTTAATAGGGAAGAGATAGTTCAGAGGCATGTGCAGGCTTCTTCAGTCTGCACATCAGAGCAGAAGAGATGCCACCATATCCCACACTCCTTCCTAACTATCTGTGACATTAGCACTTGATCACTTGTTAAAGTCCTCCACACACATAAAGCAGACACCTTAAAGGGTCCATATTAAATATGGGTATGACCATGAGGACAGTAAAATCAAATCAATGAATGCCAACCTTATTGCCAAAGGCACAAGTCCCGGTGTCAGTAGAGGCTCGGGAGAACATTCATCCCCTGGCTTCTTGGCCTGGGTCAACATCATCTTCAGTGAGGTCCTGGGAATTCCTGAACATCAGGATAGAATTGTAAATCTTCAGTGCTGGGCCCAGCTTGATCTTCATCACTTTGACGATGTCTGCCTGGGTCAGAAGCAGGAAGGCTTTGCCATCTATCTGCTGTAAATAAATAAAAAACATAATAAATACAATGATCCCAGCCTAAAGCTTATTTATCCACCAGTATCAGCTCCTGGATGTGGAGTGTGACATTAAACCACGTGTCCTCCCTAGAGGAAGGTGCTCAGCTTTAAATATAAACTCACTATATATTAATTGCCCGCAGGACAAACTTCTGTTGCTGTGTTTGTGAGCAAAAATCTTGCTCTAAATACATCAAAAACTTTAAAAGTACTACCAAATAAATTTCCAGACATTTGTGTATGCTTGACTATTGCTTGTAATTGTGAACACTGGAAGCAACTCAAGGTTCCAATAGCAGCAGAAATAAATAAGCTGTGGTTACTATATACAAGACAATCTCTAAAACTACACCTCAATGAAACAGTCATTGATTTGGGAAATTTTACAAAAGTTTAAGCACTATTATGTAAAAGTACTTTCTGCCAAGCCTGATGGCCTGAGTTCGATCCCCAGAGCCCATGGTAAAGGGAACCCACTAACCATTGTTTTCTGACTTCCACATGTGCGCTGTGGCATGTGCCTATACCAGCACACACATATCATACACAAAAAATAATAAAACACTAGAAGTATTTATGCCAAATATTACTAGAAGTTATCTTTAGCTGGTAGAATAGTATTTCATTATGATTTTCTCCTTTTAACTTTCCTATACTTTCAAGTTTCCTTTCTGTATTAAAAATCATTGTAAACAGAAATACATATGTAATAACATATTACATATTTAAACATATTCTAAAAACTAGATCAGAATGATTCTTGGCTCTGGGTTAAAAAGTTCTTGGGGGCCTGTTATCCCATATGGGAGGTGATAGATATATTAATAACCTTCATTGTGGTAATCACATACATGCATATCAAGTCAGCATGCTGTGACATGTAAACACACTTAATCTTCATTTTACAGTTAAATGTTTTTAACTTAGCAAAGAATATTGTCACCTGAAATGTGACAGCTTTCCTGAGAGTCATATGATGGTGAACTCTTAGCATGCAGGCTGTTTGTCCATGGCTGCTGGAGGCCTTGAGATCTGAGCTTGACTCTGTGAAGTGCTTGAGGGTCCTGTCCTTATATTAGGTATACCAGTATATATATATACCTGGCTAAGCTGATTCTTAGCTCTAGAACCACAGAGACTGGAATGAAAGGGTTTTCCATGACAATCCCTTTCGTGTGCCTGTGCCATATACGCAAAACCCTATCAAATTTGACAACACAAACCCCTTAGTGTCAATGCTTACCTGATAGTGGTGGTCTTTTTGATAGGAGGAGGAATCACTTGGGAGCCCTTGGGTAGGTTTTGAAAATTTTAACATTTATAAAAGCTTAAAAAGCTTCCTATGCATTTGCAATGTGTTTTCTGATGAAGACTCATTCACTTAGAGAATAAAACGCTTTTCCTGGGGATAAAGTTCGTGTTACCCAAGGCACAGGAGAGGAGCCATGCCTCTTGCCCTGCCCCTGACCCAGGTTTAGTGCCAACATTTTCAGTTAACAATCACTGGCCAAATGGTCAATTGCCCTAATAAAAAGATAATGATAGTGATGGTAACAGCTAACATTTGTGGGACTATGGGAATCTATTACAATAACCTATTGCATTGCTTCTTTCTCCCAATGACCCTGTAAGGCAGATGAGGAAATCTGGAGTGACAAGCTTAAAGACATGCCCAATATTACACAGCTTCAGAGAACCAAAGTTGAGATTCTAGGCAGGGCAGATTTGGACCCTAGAAGATCATGAGTGAGTCCCAGATGTCCAACATTGAGCTACATTGCTGGTCTTTGGTTTTTCTTAAATGTTCTCAGTTCTCTGCTCCCAACTTTTATTTATTTATTTTTTTGAGACAGGGTCTTGCTCTAGCACCAGCTGGTCTAGATAGAACTCATTATGTAGTAAATAGACCAGGCTGTCTTCAAACTCACAGAGATCTGCTTGTCTCTGCTTCCTGAGTGTGCTGGGACTAAAGGCGTGTGTCACCATGCCCTGCCAGTTCTCCTCTGTTGAAATAAGACAGTTTGAAACTTATTTTGGATTATATAGGAGCCCATGGACAACAGACATTTTAAAGAAACTTCAGACCTGTCAAGTGTTTGAATTTTTAGGACTGTAGGGATTTTAAAGTCATATTGTTTAATATGTCATATTAATATTAATGAGACCTTGAGGATAAATGGAAATAGTGTATTGAATAGTTATGTGTTTTTGTGTCAAGTTGACAAGGGGTCAGTTGTGCTGGATAGCTTCAATTGTCAACTTGACACACCTAGATAGAGGAAACCTTGAGGAATTTTCTCCATTGGATTGGCCTGTGGTCACGTCTGTGAGGAATTTTCTTGATGTTGAGTGATATGGGAGGGTCTATCCAGCTCACTGTGGGTGGTGCCACCCCTGGGCAGATGGTCTTGTGTTGTATAAGAAAGCAGGCTGAGCACAGGCCAGGGAAGCAAGCCAGTAGGCAATGTTCCTCCATGGTCTGTGCTTCAACTCCTGTCTCCAGATTCCTACCCTGAGTTCCTTCCCTGACTTTCTTCAGTGATGAACTGTGACCTGGAAGATGTAAGATAAAATAAACTCTTTCCTTCCCAAGTTGATTTCGGTCAGTGTTTTTATCACAGCTATGAAGAAGCAACTAGAGCAAGTCCCTACCTGGTACAAGAACTGTGCTATATACTTTAAATATATCATCTTAATCTTTAAAGATTCCTTTCCCATAAGTCTATGGGTTAGAAGGGAGGAACAAGAGGGGTTTGGTAATTTGCACACAGTGACAGGGCTGGTCAGAAGGTACCAAGCTTGAAAATTCCCACAAAGGGCCACTGTTTTGTTTTTATCATGCAAATAGACTCATGGACAAGCTGGGTCTTGGGCATTGCTAATGCTGCACTCAGGTGGAACTGTGAAAACCCTGAGCTTCATCAGAAGCTTCCCAAACCTGCAGGGCTCTGAGGGGCCCAGGACCCAAGACTCCAAGAAGACTTCCCTTGAACAATACATGCTCTGAACTCAAAAGGTAGGCAGCTGTGTCATGCTCTGATCTAAGTTTTCTAGAGCACTCAAGAGCAACAAGGAAGGATCTAGAATCAGATGGGGAAGGAGTCTTACACTGCCCCTTTCTCACTGTGCCTGGCTCTTCTGAGGCTGACTTTTATATGAACTGTCTCTGCAGAGGGTTTTGAGGATCAAAGGACAACTGTAAGAAGCTCAGCAGAGCACTAGCACATGGCAGGCCTGTGATAAGTAATTATTGTCATTATTATTTCCATGATCATCTACAGCTGGCTCAGTCTTTCCTGTAGACCCTGGAACTATGGCTTCAAAATTTAGAAAATGCTAAGAAGTTCAGAACATTCCCAACTGTGAGAAGACAAGAAGCAGCAACACCAAGGAGGGTGCTGTGGCTTCTCACACCCTTCCTGAGGCAGGGAAGGCAGGGGAATGGGATGGTCTCACTCTCTCATTAGAGCAGAGGTTTCCTTTGCTCCCTGGTTACAACAGTAAGGGAGGAATCATCCCATCCAGCAAGGTGGTGTCAAGCCATCAATGTGGAGCCTTCACAACATCTGTAGGTATCAATTATTTAATTAATTAATTTTTTCATCAAATAGTGTGTTTATGGAGCACTCTGAGGGGGCACCCCAGCATCCTATGACTATAGAACTAAGTATAAGAAAGCCACACACAGGCTGCTCTGTGCTTCTGTCCATGCTGAAGTCTAAGCTCTTCTATGGTTCCTTTCTCTGACACTGCAAAATGCTCGTATTTACACTTAACTAAATGGAAAGAAAGCACTTCTTGGCCTAGAAGTAGAGAAACAGATCTAATTTTCCCACTTCTTACCTCTTTCTTGAAGCACTTGGCATGTTCTTCACACCCCAGAAGAGACTGTACAAAGTCAGCTACCTATAGTGCAAGATAAAAGGCTGAATTTAAAACATGCACCTGAAATAATTTGAGTGTTGTAGTAGCTTAACGCATGAATAAAATCTACCTCAAATTCCAAACACTTGGGATTTAAATAGTAGCTATCAAGTCACATTACTATTTGTCACTTCATAAATGAGTCCTGCCCCCCAGCATCTAGGCTGGCCTATATAGGGTATGGCGATGAAGAGGACAGTGATGGCCCACACTTGTATGGCTCTGATACTTGGGAAGATTCCTGCTTCTAGCCTCCTGACCCTGAGTAGCTAGTGGTCTTGGACTGTAGTTATCACAAGGGCTATGGGGTATGAAGAATACCTCACGTATATACTTAAGTAGACAACTTGGCTCAGCTGACTCTGCGCTCCAGAATCACAGACTGGAATGAAGGAAAGAGTTTTTCTATGGCGATTCCTTCTGTAAAGCAACAATAATAGCAAATCCCCTCTTTACTCATCACTGAGACTGTCACACTTTCCCTGGTACCTGGCAGATCACGGGGACTTTATACATCTATGCCAAGCTGGATTTTCACATAAATGATGATAAAACTGAAGTTCAGATAGGTTTAACGACATAGTGGTCCTACTGGGCCAGTAAAAAGCAGAGAGGATTTTGGAACTCAGGTTATCTGCTCCCAAGCTTGGAATTCTGGACATCACTCCCTTTCAACTCAGTGTTCCTCTCTCACCTGATCTCATCCACACACACCCTGATTTCCTTGCAGTAAGAAAGCTAAAAACCCAGTTTTCTGTGCAGAGGACCATTGAGTATTCTCAATTAAGTGCAGACTCTGGACAAATGATCGGTAATAGGATACGTAGGCTCAGCATAGCTGTGGCAAGGGCTGATCTCAGGCTGGAATTAGAGCCTGAGAATGTAGATCTTGGGACTGAAGTATTAGGGGAAATAAGTCTGTTTTTCCTTCCTTTTTTGGCTTTCATCCTTCTGGTCTGACTTATTGTACGCACACACCTGTCCCCTCCCCCCTCCATCTTTTAGGGAAAGTCTGGACAGAGCTGAAGAACTTAGGACCAATGTGCTCCGTTTTCCTATGGCCCTGGGTATGCTTGCTCCCCTAAAACTCTCCAGAACTCTCTTCCCATGGGGTGGAAAAGAGTAATAAGCATTGAGATGATCTTAGGTCCCAAAATAGTGAGGACTAACACCCAGAGGAGGCAGCCTAGGCTTGGTACTTGCCTGCACCTATGACATCATGGCCACACCTATGAAGAGATCAGTACATCTTCTTTTGGAGGGCACAGTATGTGCTTTGTGTCTGCTTTACTCACTCCTAGTACTACATATCTATTTCAGCAGAATCAATTTATGATTATCCTTCTAATGCGAAAGAGTAGGTTTTAAGAAACCCTTCTTAAGTGGCCATCAGGCTGTCATACACAGGCATTCCCAGTCTGGGAACACTGCAGTATGTGTGCTATAAGGCTGGCCTTGGCTCAACACAGCAGCTAAAGGTCTACTGAGAGTCCCATGCTCCCAAAGGGCAAAGGCAAAGGAACTTTGGTCAGTCTCCAGAATTAATATGGTTATCTTTTCCTAGGTGAACATGAAACATGGATCAGATGTTGGGTATTTTTAGAGTGTCAATGAAAGTTATGGAAGGCCACTGTCAAGTCACACAGATGAAGGTCTGGGACAGGTGACATCAGTTCTGATGGTGGTTGATGTGGGACTTCCAGAGCCCAGGGCATTGATAAGTGAGATTACTAAACACTTCAACAAGCTGCTTTTATTGCTGAGAACATTCTACCCTGGGTAGGTGTAAGACCTTATGCTGGCATACCTATGAAAAGGTTGGGCCTGAACTATTGCTGAGTTTATGGCTTGGCTCAGAGAGGGAGGAGAAAGGGAAATAGCATGTATGGCACAGCTTGCTTATCGCTATAATACATGGTCGTATGTGTGATCCTCCTCAGGAGAGGCTTTTAGATGGAAACACTGTATCTCTGGGGAACTCAGGAAAGGATCAGGAAGGAGAGGTGCCTAAAAATAGGCACAGCATTTAATGAGGTGAAGATTTGGGGCAGATGTGTAGGTTCCACACTCAACTTTAGCCAACTCCCTTATTCTGCCATGGGGAGGTCACTGTCCCTAACACTGACATGCCTTACACACACACACACACACACACACACACACACACAGCTCCTGGCTGAAACAGAACTAAAACAGTTCTTTAACCAAGTTTCAGTCAACCTTTTATATTTTTTCCTCCTATGATATTCAGCTAGTCTTCCTGTGGAAGGGAGAGTGTAAGCAGTAGTGATGGATCCAGTGGGTGGGCACTGAGGAGAATGGGGAAAGGGCAAGGGCGGTATGGCCTTCGTGTATATATTTGTGTTACAGCAGCAGGCAGCAGGAAGCCTGAAGTCCAGGCTCTCAGCTTGGCCACATATTGCCATCTCTTGTAGAACCAGAAGACTGACTGAAGCAAGGGTTTAGGCCACGGAGATTACAAATGAATGGAGCTGGACAAGGTTCAAGTGTCGGGCATTTATTTTCAGAGCTCATGGAGGATGTTAATGTGTACTGAGAGCTGGGACCACAGGGTGAAAGAAAGCTGGAGAGGCAAGCCTGCAGTGCCTGCATGGACTCCTGCTGCTGCCTTCAGTGGGAGGGGCATTGGTGTCCCCAGTGGGAAGCATCAGGACCCAGAGAGATGTTTCTGAGGCAGGAGGGGCTGCAGAAGTCAAATCCTCCTGATTGGGCAGTCTGGGAATGCAGAAGGAAGCTAGGCCAAGTGCAGGAAACATACTCTAGATTGGGATTTCTCAGCCTCAGCACCACTAACACCTTGGGCCAGGTTACTGTGCTTTGGAGTGCTCCTGTGTATCATGGGGCATACAATGGTATCCCCGGCCTCTACTCCCTAGCTTCCAGTAGCATTGTTGCCTTCTAGATGTGACATCCAAAAGATGTTTCCATACATTGCCAAAGGCCCCTCAGGGACAGTCTACTGCTGTAGTGACAGTTCCACAGGGAGAGTAGCTAAATACCACAGGAGATAAAAAGCAAGCAAACAAACAAAAAACCCAAAGAAGGTTGACCAAGAGTTGGTTAAAGACCTATGTTTTAGTTCTCTCAGTCAGGAGCCATGTGGAAGGCATGTCAGTCATAGGGACAGTGGTTGCCCCATGGCAGAGTGAAGCACTTGGCTAGAGAGATGTTTTCTTGCTCCTGAGTTTTTCCAAGAGTTTCTGCTCATGGCAGAAGTGCTGAGTTGCTCTGATCATTTGCACGTCATAAGGATATGCTGGGCAACAAACAAGAACTCCCTCCTCTTCCTCAGCATGGTCAGCCAAGAGCTCACTGTCTATGACAAGAGGAAAATGCGTTCTAATGAGAATAAATAACGTGTTAAGACAAAGCATCAACAGCATGGAGCACGAGCTGCTGAGTGTGGTGGCATCCCTCATACCACTGGCACCTTTTCCTGCAGGCAGGACTCCTCCCGTCCGCTCTCTGCAGACAGCAGAGCAGTTGTACCTCCTCGGCCTCATCTCCTGTTTCAGAGTTTCTGCTTCTTGAGAGAGATCTCCATTCTGTTTTTTGATGGTAAAGAACAATTCCATGAAGTCTACTGGAGGAAACATCTTTGGCTAGGTCTTCAAAATATCCAAATGCCATGTTTAGTATTGTTAGTTGAAATTTACTTATTATAAGTTGAATTTTAATAGAAATCTTGTTTGGCTAAAGATTTTGCAAATGCAAGTGGTGAGATTTTTATATACCACAGAATAATACCAAACGGTTTCATTTTCATTCTCTCATTAAAAGACTTTCCTTCTGTGGGGTTGGAGAGATGGCTCAGTGGTTAAAAGTACTGTCTGCTCTTGCAGAGGACCCAGGATTTGGTTCCCAGCAACCACACTGCAGCTCAAAACCATCCATAACTGCAGTTCCAGAGTTCCAGAGGATCTGATGCGATCTTATGACCTCCATAGGCATTGCACACCACAGGTAGTCTTACATACATGTAGACAAAACACTCATATATATAAAATAAAAGGAATAATCCAAAAATTAAAACTATTTCTTCTACAAATTTGTGGTTTAATGCACACAACTGTTCAATGAGAGTGAACTCTATGAAAGAAGAGACAATTATCCATTTGTCCCACACCCATGAAAAGATTGCTGAGGACAAGTCTGCTTTATCAAGGTAACAAGTATCATGTTGGAGCCCTCTAGGTATACCCAAGCCATGGCAGTAGCTCTGGGGAGCACCCATGGTGTAGGGCAGTTATGTGGGCTTGTGCCCTTGGCTTTGATAGTGGAGAGCTGGCCTAATGTGGGGGCTGCCCTGTGGCTATTGTGTCCTTGGTCATGGCTCTAGGAAGCAGCTTGGGTGGAGGGTTGACATGTGACTATTTTCCATGTTCTTCTTGAGAGCACAGTGTTTTGTGGCCAAAACCCCTGCTTGTTTTGGAAGGACTCCAAGCAAGCTAATTGTAGGTATAAGACAGCAGTTTGGGAGGACTAAGAAGATGACTCTCTCTGGGCTCTTCTACTAGCCTTCTACTTTACCCAACTCACGTCCCCTATGACCTACTTTTGCTGGCTTCCCCTCTGGCACCCAGCAGGCATCTGTTCTGCAGTGGGCTAACACTTCTTCAATCTTCCCAAGGAATGGTGGCATTCCTCTCTTGCTGAGCCTGGAGATGTGAGCTGGATTGTGCTGCCTGAAAGCCCACTGGGAACCATGTTTCCAGATGGACTCTCGTTTTTTAACAGCAGAGTTTATTTGCCCTTTTTTGAAGAGCGCAATTATAGAAGGCTGCTATGCTTAAGTAGCAGTACCTTGAATTTTTCAAAACATTTGTTCCTGTGTAAAGCCTGCTTTTAAAGTGACTGCCATCTTTTATAGTTAATGAACAATTAGGGAGCATTTGGTTGAGGGTAGGGCAATTTATATTTAGAATAGAAGAGGCAAAAGTACCTATATGTGAGTCAAATAAAACTGAGCCATACCTGTGATGATAAATATGCACACAACATCCTGCCCAATCAGGACAGGACATGTTCATTTGTTCATTCACTCATCCACTATACGAACATTAATCGAACACCTGTTCTAAGTAAGATGTGTTCCTATAAAGATATACAAAGAGCTGGGCGTGGTGGCGCACACCTTTAATCCCAGCACTCGGGAGGCAGAGGCAGGCGGATCTCTGTGAGTTTGAGGCCAGCCTGGTCTCCATAGCGAATCCAGGCCAGCTGGGGCTACAGGGAGACCCTGTCTCAAAAAAATATGTATAAAAAACTAACAACTAACTAACTAGCTAACTAACTAGCTATATAAATAAATAAATACATAAATAAATATTGCATTGAAAGAATTTACCTGAGGAATGGAGTTGGAAAATATACATGAGATAGGCAGCTTGATAAGTCAATCTTTCAGTTGATTATTTACACTGATTAGTTTCTATAAGGCTTATATAGACTGGTTATAACTTATCTCTCTGCTATTTCTTCTTCAGATATTTATTATTCACATATCTTTCTAGATGCATTTTTGTCCTTTTTATTCTTATTATTCACTTCTTACTTTTTATCTTATCTTAGTAACATAGTATCTTATATTATTAACAATTGTCTATACACTGATGTCATCCCTACATGTGTATATAAAGCCTAATGCTGAGAGGTTGCAGCCTCACCTGCTTCTGGTTTGCTCTGTCCTGCTTCAGCCACCAGGCCTGCTGCTTGCTGCCATGCCCTACCCCTTCCATGACAGTTTCTTATCCCTCTGGAACTGTAAGCCAAAAATAAACTGTTCCTTCTATAAGTTGTCTTAGATATAAAACTATTAAGATACTTTAATCCTGGGCTGGAGAGATGGCCTGGTGGTTAACTGCACTGACTGCTTTTATGGAGAACCAGGTTCAATTCCCAGCACCCACATGGCTGCTAACAACTGTCTGTAACTCCAGTTCCAGGGGATCTGACACTGTCTTCTAATCTCCGTGGGCATTGCCAGACAGGGGTGTACTTAACATACAGGCAGGCAATACACTCATACACAAAATAAAAAATCATAAATAAAATATTAAAAAAAATTTTAGTCCTTATTCTTACAAATTTGTATTCTTATATAGACTAGAGTAAGAAATACACTTACACTAAGGTATGTAACAGGGTATGCTCATACCCTCACCTCTAAGGCAGTTTTACAAAACAATAATATTTATGATATTGTGTTCTTGTGTTCTTGCCTTTCATTTCATAACCACTAAATCCACTTCACAACCTCCCTGTACTTTGAAAACAGTGTTGTGAGAGAGAGACACACTAACAAAGGAGTTGAAGCCAGCTCGCAGCTCTGGGGAGAACTACAAAGGCCCTGCGCTGGCTTCTCTTCACATGTAGCATAATGGGGAGCAGAGGTCTCCCTCCCAGACCAGGATGGAGACAAAGGGAACATTCTCTCTCTTCAGCTTCTGCTATAGACACCCCACACTACATTTCACTGAATAGTGCTTAACACAGGATGCCCAAGTTCATTTCAGCATGCCTTGTCCTTGGCTGAGGCTCCCCTCCAATGTGTCCAGTGCTAACAAAGCATAGAAGCAGCGTCCCCAATCCTGGTCAAACCTGGACTGCCTTTTCAGATAATCCCTCCTTAGCTGCCATTCTTCTTGTGGGGTTCAGAGAGCTACCTTATTTTCAAAGATACAAACAGAATACACCACAAAATTCACAGTTTCAATCCCTCAAAGATCTTTCTTGATGGTCTGTTTTAGGGATGGGAAATGATCTATGTTGATTAAGGACACAGAAAGAAATCTAGGATGTGGTCCTTATTCTCAAGGGCATCTTATTAGAGAGATATAAAAGCTGAGCTCTTCCAGATCTGGGATTAATGAGAAGGGCATCTCTGGAACACATCCCTGATGGAAGCCATGGTTACAGAAGCATTCAGGAAGTATTGGGGACAAGGGTACCTGATACAAGCATTTAGTTTCCATGTAGTTTTTTGCTTAATCTAGAAAGGACCTAATGTCTTTCCAGAAGTAAAAGGCCAAGAGTGTACATGTTCTGCTACAGAGACTTCAGGAACTGGGATCTACCTTCCTAATAGTCCTTGGCAGTATTTTTTAGCCTCTCTCTATCTTCCTTTTGAAACTTTCCCAATCCTAATGAGATGTTCACTTGGACCAATCAGTCCTTCTAGTCATCTTCAATCTTTTGATTTCAAGTTCATTCAATGCTAAAGTTAGATTCTGTCATATCAGAGCACCCTACCCCACCTCCCCATCACCTGCTTAACTACTTTCATGATTCTGACAGGGGCTCCTGTTCTTTTTGCCTGACATCTTTCTGAGAAGTAAATAAAAGCAAGTCTTTCTCCATTATAAAGTATACTGTCGTGCACAAGTTTTCAAGATCCTTGAGTCTTTGCAGTCCCCAATAGTCTTGGACACTAAGCAGTTAGCTCTTAATTAGGATAATGATATGTGAGATCTGATGAGGAATGAACACCCAAGGCTTGCACCATCCCCTGCATGCCTCTCTTCCACAAATTCTTGATCTCCTTGAAGCCTTGCATTCCTATGCATTCTTGGTCTTCAATAGAACCCACTCTCAGTCTTTGGATCTGCAGAGGCTGTGTCTGAATATTATGCTCTTGGGAAGTACTGACCTGTTCTTCTCTTCATCCTTTAATGGCAGCACTCAGTTGTCCATCCATGGCCACATCTCTCCAGGGAATCTTGCCTCTAATTTTCCATGTCCTAACAGAAAGTCCCTCATGCTGTCTCTCTGTTGCTACATTCCTTCTTCTGACTCTACCACCATTCCTAATCCTTTCAGAGAAAACTTCCAAATCTCGCACATTATTATCATAATTAAGTGCTCAACTGCAAGAGTAGATGGAATTACATGTCGTTTGTTTTACTATCTCATATTTTGGGTCATGTCTAAATCCCTGGGTACTGAAGTTGACTTTAAAACATCTATTGAAGTCAGATTCTTCTCACCACGGCTCTCAGCCCAGCCCATGATTATGCCATAGCCTGGGACCCTGGCAATATAACTCCTTGGGTCGGCCTTCTCTCTGCAGATCTTTGTTGTTCCTATCTCCCTGAATCACCATCTTCAGAAAATGACTTTTTGCCAAATAACCTGGCAGATTTTTATCTGCTGACTGAGCCATGGCCATCCCATTGGTCCACCAAGACCTTTCACACCTGTACATTCTTCCCTGTCCCAGGCTAGCTTCCTCTGTGTCCAGATGGGAAAAGCTAGCTCAGGGCCTGGCTCTGATTATGTGGCCTGAAGCAAATCACTTAATTTCGGAGTGCCTTAATCTCTATATCTGTAAAATAGGAAAAATAAGAGTATCCTAATACCCTGGGTTGCCAAGTGAGCAGTCTAGAGCTGAATGACCAGCGAGAGAGGAGGAGCCACTCCCAGTCTTACTTCCAAAGTGGCAGAACATCAAATGACTGGTGTGTAAGTCAATAATGAATTGCTGGCCAATTAGAACTCTCTATTTGTGCACTCTTGTTTTAAATATGATCTTATGATAAACACAGCAGGCTTTAATTCGGTGAGTTTGGCCATCAGCATACTCTGCATACTTGGTGAACTTTCACAAATTCTCAAAAAAAGGTGCTGATTTGGAATGCTCTTTTAGGACCCAGATCACACTTTGGTAATTTCCTCCCATATTTTCTGGCATACTGAGTCAACACTCTACACCCAGAACCATTGAACCCATCTATCCACAGAGAGGTGAGTAGGTAGGCATAGCCTGCGGGGGAAATAATGGCAGTACCCTCTATTCCTTGCTAGAGGAATCTGGGCAAAAATAGAATCCCAGGCCATCAGGAAGATCCTTGAGCAGTAGGGGACAGGGTCTGCTCCAGAGTTCCCAAGTCTGCATAGCCTAAGCCCAAGGTTACAAAGGAAGGCTTAAACCACACCAAGGGAAGGTTGCTGTGTTGTGTTTGATGAACATTTTGGGACTAAATTAATTTCATATCTAGTTCAAGCCTTGTTGTCAGAGAGGACCAGGGTTTCTTGGGTTGAAAAGTTTTATTTAAGGCAAGAAAAGTGACATATCGTTATTGGTCAGTGTACTCCTTAAAATAAACTAGCTTTGAATAGAAGGCATATCTACAGTACTAGAGTAAGCAGTGGGGCTTAACTGATCCTTATTAAAAAGCAATGCTGTAAAGCATGTTTATATTAAAACCAATGTTGTAAAATCTAATGTGACTTTCCCCCTCTATGTAGAAACTAACCCGATGTTGCATTAATATGTACCTTAACAATGAACTCAAAATAAGCCTAGTAATCTTGTAGTGTGGAGGAAGAAATCAGTGATGTAGCACCTGCTCTATGGGGAGCACACAGGGTTCCTCAGGACCCAGCATATCCTGGATACAGGTGCTCTCCCAGAGAAGACACTGCTGGAACACAAGCCCGAGATCCTTAGGCATTTATGCTTTTCCAGCGAGATCAGGAGTATAGACTTGGAGGCTTGGTCAATCTGCTGTCCTTAGCCTGTGGAGATGGTGACAAGACCCAGGAGTTGGCACTAGGAAAAATCTAGGGTGGGGATGAGCAAAACCAACTGGGTAGGCAATGTGCTTTCCTAGTCTTGTCAAAGGCATGCTTATCTTCCTGCTCTAATGTGAAGTTTGAGCTTTACGTAGTGAAGGCCTTGCCTAAGAGATAAAGAAGCATTTCTCCAGTGTTAAAGAACTCCGGAGTAGGCTTATTCCCATCCCACTGTCCCCTGCATGGTTCTGCTCACCTCATCCACTGTCCATTGGGTCACCTGGTTGGCCTGGATATCAGCCACACCTGGAAGTAACTTGCAGTGCTGCTCCCTGCCAAGGGGCAGGTCCCGGAAAGGGTGGGCAGACAGGGAGGTCATGAAGATTGACTGGTGAAGCACCTGTTGCACCCGCTCAGCTGAGTATTCTGAAAGAGAGTGACATGGAATGGGTACAGCATGGGTGTTGTAAGTCAGGGACAGTTGCCATCTCATCCAGTGAAGGCCCACAGTCAGAGTGCATGAGATACAGATCCAGTCAATATTGTTGTCTTCTGCTTGACACTGCCAGAGGAGTCCCCAGCCACAGCCTGTGCCACCCATCTGATTTAGAACAGGGGCCATGCAAAACTTGTGCCCTGTAAGGCCCAGAAGTGGTGGCTTGCTAACCACCTTCAAATAATCTCTGTGAGGTACTGCTTAATGGCAGATAAAGGGCTAGCTTGTTTCTGTTCCTAGCTTTTCTCTCCTTAAACCAGGAATCAGATGAACCACAGAACAATGAGAATGTGTCTGCTGAACAGGTGAACATAGTGAACCATCTGGGATATGTATGTATATAAAGAACAATTTCCTCCTAGAAACCAATTCCTACATCTCAAAGACAAACTATCCCAGGTTCACATCTGGCTTCCTAAATTCCCTGTGATACTGAATAAAATATAACAGAGGACTCCCATGATAAGCTGGGTGACATCATCTGATGCTGTAGAGTGAAAGAAATATACAGTGACTTCAGAGGGGTGACACTAGAGGCAGGGCATCCATGGAAAGCACCCTCCGCTAAGATGGAACCTGAGGTACTTATGAGACTGAGACAATATAGTAGCTCAGTCAGTAAAGAGCTGCAATTGTAACCTTGAGAACCTGAGTCCAGTGCTCAGAACCCACATAAAACAGGTGGGCATGGCAGTGTGTGCTTGTCATTACCGTGCTGGGGAAGTAGAGATAGGGGGATTCCTGGGGCTTGCTGGTCAGCCAGTCTAGCCAAATTGGTGAGCCCCAGTTTTAGAGATCATGACTCAAAGGAGGTGGACAGTGTTTCTGAAGATGACACCTGAGGTTGTCATCTGTCCTCCACATGTATATGTGCACACACGGGAATACACACACACACACACACACACACACACACACACACACACACACCCCACATAATAAAATGATGAAAGTCTGATGATTTTGCTTTGTATCTACAAATGGGTAAAGAGCAAAAACACTAGACATTTCAGCACAAACCACTTCCTCTAGAATGACATCTCTGGAAATACTTTCAATACACATTAGGGAAATAAAAACCATTGATATTTAAAGAGATTTGAAAAGACAGATCACAAAAGGAAATGTTTTAAGGCTTCTAAAAGTCCTTCTTTCCTAATGCAAGTGGCAGGTTAAGTGAGAAGGGACTACACACCGGAAAGTCTATTACTGTGGTTTATGTCTTACTGAGTCTGAAAAGTTATTATGTAAATATTTCCACCTCAAATTAATTACCGTTTTTAGAAGCTGACCTGTATGTTACACGGTCAGTCACGTACCTGTGTGGAATCAGGAAGGCTTGAAATGATGAGTGAGCTTTCCATCACCAGGTTTCTCTGTACAGTGCTGCTCTCGTGGATTAGAGCAGACATCCTCGTATTTATTACTGCTTGCTGTCTACCCAGATGAAGAGACAGCAAAATTGCCAGCTTCTTCCAAATTCTTATGCTCCAGTTGCAACCAGCAGCAAATTCATCTCTAACTGATGATTGTCCAAGCTGACCTTTTTAGTATGTAAATAGGTTATCTCTCTGTGTAGTTCAGTCAACAGTATGTTAGGCTGCAGGTTCTGAAGGAAGACTTCATGTCTTCTTTGAAAAGCCAGTATATAGATAAATGTGAATGCTCTTTAATGAAGTCGTCTGGTGGCACAAGAGCGAGTACAAAACAAGCCTTGAAACCACAACACCAGGGCCAGCCTGCAGTTGCAGAAATATAGAAGCCTCAAATCTGCCTGAGAAACCAAGGGTTACAGCCATCTTTGCGATTAAGATCAGAGCCAAAGACTAAAGACTGGCTTTGTTCTGGAAAAGAATTACTACATCAATTGATTGGTTGGTTTTTGCTGAATTGCATGGACTTAGAAATAAGCATATGTGCATCTCAAACATCTGTGTATCCTATTATCCATGTATTGAGTAAATTAATCATGTTTCATGTATAATATATATAAGACTCTGAAAAGACAAATTTAATGCATCTATTTTGACTGTACAAAGATATCACGTGTAGGTGAGAAGGCATTAAGAAAAGAAATCAACAACAGCAACAAAAACAATTTGATTTGTGTGCTCCCGAGGAAGAATATTTTTCAATACCATAATTTTGGAGATGACTGTCTACTTGGGGTGCTGAGGCTTACTCTTGGAAGCATACCTGATATATGACTGCTAGCAATTCAACTGCCACTAAAATCCTTTGCAGAAGTACCAATGGAAAGGAACATGAAAGTTGCATCCTTAGGCTGCTACAAGGTAGGGCAGGACATTTGGTCCTCAGGCAAACCAGGGTGGGTGTGTGGCAACACTTAAAATGCTCTTGGCCTGTGGCTGGGAGATTATGTGACTCTTGACAGACTCTTAAACTTGGGGATGATTTACATTATTTTACATTTCATGCATAAAATTAGATTTTTGAAAAATCAACTTAAAATTTGAATACATTTTGAAAGATATGAACATACAGGTTTTAACTTTATATAAAGCCTAGTACAGTTCATGTCTTAACAGATACTCACTAGATAGCTCTCAGTATATTAACAATCATAAGCCTGTGATGAAAATACGGATAGTCATGTTGCATATAACTATGCTTCAGCCAACAATGGGCCACTGTGGACCCACAAAATTATCACAGAGCTGAAAAATTCCTATTGCCTACTATTTATTTTGCCTTTTCTATGTTCCCTTATATTGATATGTGAATATCAATGTGCTACCACTGCATATGATACTCTACATGGTTAAGGATGTAGCCTAGAGTGTCAGGCTACACAATACTGCCTAGATGCATAGTAGCGTAACTCACTGAGGAGAGGGTAAGTATGCTCTGTGATGTATGTGCAACAATGAGATTACTCATCCATGCAATTTTCAGAATTCATCTGTCATTAAGTGGCACATGAATGCAATGTCCTAAGAAATCATTCTCATCCAACCAAAGACACTATTCAGAGACACTTTGGGCAAACAGGGATTTCCAGATTAGAAAAGAATGTTTACCATGAGGAATGCCGGAAGGGTCATTTGTCTGCTTCATCTACGAGGTCTGGCATCCCAGCTCTGTTTCCACCTACCACAGCTGAGATATGGGCTGTTTCCCTGTACACTGCTTTGCTGCAGCAGTGACTCCTACCCAGCTCCCTGGAAAGTCAGCCAAGGAAATTCAGCCTGTAGAAGCAGCCGCCTGCTGAAGGTTTTAATATTCTAATTAATCAAAATGTCCTCTGAACCAGAAAGTGAAATGCATGTGTAATTGTGGCTTTACCTCTAAAACCAGCCTGTGATAATAACTAAAGCTACCCTTGCATTTAGGGTACTTTCCCCTCCCAGAAATCAGAGTACATAATACTTGTCCCCTCAGTGGTTCGCCATTTGTGGAAATGTTTGGAAGAAATTTTTCTTGAAGTAACCTTTTTTTTTTGGAGTTTTATGACTTTAAAAATGCTCTGGACCAGAGTGCTAGAAGATGTGGCTGTGATCTTAATGCTGTTTAGGACCATTCAGAGAGGCGGGTTCTACCGCAGGATGCTGAGGCATTACTTGCCCTGCAGAGGCAACAAATAACACCCCGTGGAGAGACAAAAACCTCAGAAAATCCAGCCCATAGGCAAAGGGGTCTGGGGGCTTCCCTTAAGAGTCCATGAAGGTGACCAGATTGGCCAGTAGTGGGAAGCGTGTGACTTAGGAGCTGCCTTTCCAGACACCATACAGGCTTATGACAGAGAACACAGCATGTTTGCTTCCCAGCTCCACAGGTTATTATTATTTTGAGTGTTTAGAGTCAAAGGATTTTAATTTATCCGAAAATAGCATGAAAGTAGGTCCCTGGTTTCTTCTTGGCCTCTCTTTCCTCCTTCCCAGTTCTGCTTTCCACCCACAAGAGAAAAAAGAAATCCTTTATGGAAATGTTCTTTAAAAATATGGCTGTTTCTTCACAAAAGCTTCACACAACCAAACTGAAGCAAGTGAGTCATAAATGGTAAACTCTAGACTGCATGACTGGGCCTCTAGTTATTTTTAGTCCCACTAAAAACAGAGACCCATTTCACAGTAACCTCTTCAATGAAAGAGGCAGCACTTCTAGCAAGCTCTGTGCTCCAAAAACGAGGAATTTTTTTTTTTTTTTAAGTTGCCAACTGGGTGTAATGGTGCATGCCTCTAATCTTAGCACTTGGGAGGCAGAGGCAGGCATATCTCTTTGAGATTGAGGTCAGCCTGGGGCTTCAGGGAGACCATGTCTCAAAACCTAAATATTGCAATTGGCCCTGAAATTCAATTATGTGCCTTTCACACCCACCATACAATCTGTGACAATCCCTGGTTAGTCCAGTTTCTTCATCACTTACTCAGAGCTACTTTTTGAGACATTGTGCTCCCTTGGGTGCTTCTGCTGGAGAGGCGACCTTCAGGGATGGCTTTCTCACCAAATGATGTTTTCCTACTAAGATCACCAGTAATCATGGCCTGTGTTCTGGGACCATCAGCTCTGTGCTACAGGATATTCTCTTCCATTTCTTCATCCCTTCATTTCTTCAATACAAACGACAAAACAGACCAAGAGATGCCAAAACACAACTGACAAGACAATGGATGTACCTTTGTGAGAGTGTGAGCTCCTCAGGAACAGTCATTGATGGAGAGTGGGCATTCAACACATGCTGTTCCTCATATGCTGATTACAGTGTGACTCACACATGGCATGGCCTGTGTTCTGCTCCTCAGGCTCTTGCTGTTTAGAATTCAAACAGTGATCTCTACCTAGACAGTACCTTAAGGTTGAAGTTGTCATTCATCCCTACTGGCTGCCTCACAATAACTGATTTTATATAAATGTGGGAGACAAGGCACAGAAAGTCTTGGGGTTTTCCAGGCTCTCCACTGAGCAACCA